GGCCACCCAGAGCTATATAGGGAGACCCTATATAGCTATATAGGGCTGAGGATACCTAAGTGGTAGAAGTCTTGCATGCTCAAGGTCCTGGGTTCAATCCCTGGCACTACACATAAAAAATGTCATAACTTAAGGAATGGAATAATTACCTGTGTAGACTTACTGGAACATGAGGGAAAGACTATTTTTAAAAGAATGAAAAATTTAAAATTAGTGCCCAAAGTGTCCACTCCCACCAGTAAGATCAGCTGGCATGTGTTCTTCAGTACTTGGATTACTCAGTAGATGGAGTTGAACATTTTCATCATTCTTCATATTTGATGTATCTTTATGGCTCTAATTATTCTCTAGTGTTAGGGAAAGAGTGGAGACAGTTTTCCCGTGTAGTGGTAATTTGGAATTCTGCCTTCAGCATGTCTTCCAATAAAGGAACTTTCTGTGGGTTGAGATTCTAAAAGTGATAATTTTGATAACATGAAGCAAATTAGGTATTGCCATCATTGACATGTAATCTCTTCTCCCTTAAAACAAAGATGGTGAGGTGCACTTGGACCCAAAACATGGGTGATGAAAGATGAATATGAGCATAGAGATCAATACGTGGCATATCTGGGTCCATTTTCTGTTCTTATAACAGAACACCATAGGCTGGCCAATTATTTAACAAGAGAAGTTTATTCTGCTAATGGATTTGCATGATGGGAAACACAAGCATCCAGTGAGAGCAGAACCAGCATCCAATGAGGACAAATGGCATGAGAATAACACAAAACTCTCATATGGGATGTCCTTCTGTACAGTGCAAATATGTTTTGCTTTTATTGGTTAATGAATAAAGCCATTTTGACATCAGTTATGGAGAGCTACACTTCATCCTCTTTATCACAGTTTTTAAGAGTTCTCGATAGCTTTCTGTCTAGGCGTTTACTTTTGGAGGGGGTAGGGTTTGTTGCAGAGGCCTTCCATGTTCCTGTTTCTAAGCTGTGAGTCTTCAGTCATCAATATCCTTGCAAAAGTAGCTTCCTTGCCCTTTACAGTCAGCAGGAACATGGATCATGGACTGATCTTTAATACATTATGTCACAGCAAGGAAGAAACGTTAAACAACTGAGTTGCAGAAATAATTACTTTAAAATAGAGCTGTTGAGTGAATGAAGGAAGCCTAGCATTAAACAAGAGTAAATAATGTACAAATAAGATGGAACTCTGATGTTGTGTGGGAGGAGTGGGAAGTGTCATAGATGCCAAGCCTGAGCTGAGTCATGAAGGATGTGACAGGGAAGTGCCTAGGTTGAAATCTCATAATTTACTCCATCATTTCCTTTTATCTGATTCATTTCAAACACAACCATCCTTCTCTCAGTCAACCAGGCTTAAACTCTGTACATGTCTTTAATATTTATTTTCCTTTGCCTCAAGGAATAATCAGATGTTTTCTTGAGTCAGATATTCTTTTCTTTGTTCTAGCAAATGACTGAATTCTTGGTCTCTCAACATTGATTACATTAAGTGGTACTTTTTCCCTTTATAGCTTTGTTTGCTTTATTTCATTCAAAGTACCATGACTGAGACATTTCTGGCATGCCAGCATTCATTCTCAGTGTCCCAGAAGCAGACAAGATGAACATGACTGTCACAGAGCCTGTTCCTGATAGAGGAGAGAGGGGATGAACAAGTAGAGATCTTGAGTAATCCAACAGAAAGTCCTCTTCCTCAGAAAGGAAGGAGTATTCTGGTCAAAGCCAAAGGGGATGGACAGAAATAACCCATGGACAGGTGAGGCATGGGATAGTGCAAGGAACATCCATAGAAAGAAGCCACACATGCAAGGGTCTGCAGGCTTGGGTGGGAACAAGATAACAGCACAGCAGCGATGAGTGGGATTCTGTGGTGCTGAGCCTTGCCAACCATTTGAAAGACTTTGAATTTTCTTCTAAGAGTCTGAGAGCCACTCAAGTCCTAAGCTGGATAGTGATGTGAGCAGAAACATTCCTACAGTTGTTTGGGGCCTGCAATGAACACCATGGACTAAAACAAAGAGAAGTAATCTGTCTACAAGATGAATCACCCCAGCTTATTCTCCCTCCCAACCAATCTTGCCTTCGGTTTCTTCCTGCTCTGTAGTCCAACCAATCCTTTGACCGTCTGTTGCTAGATGAGTTCTCTAACAAATATTCAAATCTCAGCCGGAAGAATCTTAATAGGGTGCCCATGGAATAATTCTGAACCTGTCACCCTGTTATTCAAAGCTTCCAGCGCTCTGGCCCCTGTTTCAGAGCTGTGTCATCCATGCTTCTCTTTGTTTATTCTTCCTCACTGTGGCCACACGAGATAGACTTTTCCACAACACCTCAGTCTCATCACCCCCAGCTGTGCTTTGACCTGCACACAGACACCTGCTCCTCCTTAGGTCCTTGCTCAGATGCCCACCCTCCCAGCTGAAATAAATTCAAGTCCCCTGAAATTATTTGCCCTTCCTCCAAATCCTCCTCGTGCTTTAGTTCAAAGGTTAATGACCTCAGTCCCTTCCCACTAAGAGAGTATCTAGAGAGGCTGGTGGGCAGAGCTCTTATAAGCATGAACTCTGCACAAAATGCCTGCATTCAGACCCTGTCACCAACATCTCCAAGTCTGAGACCCTGGGCACTTGACTTCGGCTCTCCGTGCCCCACTTCTCTGTTATAAAGTTGCATAGGTACAAAGTGTTGTGAGAATGAAAAAGGCCTAAGTGTGTGAAACATGCCCAACTCCTATGTAGTATTTCATATGAACATGCCATTATTTTTGTCATATGCTTAACATCTGCTCTGTGCATTTATAACATCTTTGAAGACCAATTACACATCTAATTTGCATTTAGGGTTTCTAAATTCCTTTCTGAGTTAATAAATGTTGAATATGTCAATTAAAATAACAATTATTGGTAAGTACTAGTGGTTTTCAAATAGTTTATTTTTAAAATAACATTTTCTTTAAAAAAAAAACCTCTAAATAGGTTGTTAAGGAAACATTGTAATTTTTTTTTCTATTTGTAAAGTACATGAACATAGAGACCCACAGCTTTCTATAATTCTACTTTTGGTTTAGAGATTAAAAGATGTAAGATGTGGAGAAGCTATACAGCCAAACATGAAGACAGAAACTCAAAAGAACTATGGCTGGAAGGGCAGAAAAATCATCCATGGAAACAATGGGGTGTAACTATAAGACTATGAAAACTGTGACTTCTACAACAAGGAATAAACAAAGCAACTTTCCTACTAAAATTAGCCAATATTTACTGGATGTTCTTTGCACTAGGTGCTATTTAACTACTTACCCCTCTGTCTATTTCTTTCTCTGACAGAACTTACTGTACAGTGGGAAGCTATCTTATAACTCAGAACTGTGTACCCCAGGAATCCATGTTGCCAGAATAATTTCAAAATCCATTTCTAATGCTAATAGTCAAGATTTAAGTGTTGTCATTTTCTACTCTGGTGTCTCCAGTCTCCTATTTGCGATTTCCTTTTGCTGTGAGAAGAAACAAGGTGGTCCCCAAATCCCTTAGTCATGCATCAACAGCTCTCCCCTGCCCCAAGTTCTCTCTTCCTCATTTAGCATCAAATCCTTACTTAACAATGGCACTTGCTTTTTGGAACTGATAATTACTACTGCTTTCATATGCAGAGACAATATTTCTAAAATTAATGAGATAAATTCATTGTACAAATTTACAAATGGTTTTTGTGTTTATATCTTTTTCTTATAAATCTTAAAGGCAAAGATTTATGTGTATATTCTCTCTCTCTCCACACACACACACACACACACAAAGTTGGAAAATTAATAATTTGATAATACATTTTTTGTAAGTGAAAGAATAGAGCTGAAAGTTATCACATGGCTTCCAGAACACACAATATGGCAATTTCTTGGGTATGTGCCTACTTTTAGCCTGAAAAAGGTCTCCCTAAGACTTTTGTCTTGCTCATTTCCAATCCCCTAAAATAGTTGAGAAGCATGAATAAGTTGTAATTAATGTCATTCTAGAGACACTGAGGAAAGGGATTGTATTTGTGCAGTGGTGGAGAGAAATGTTAGCTGACCACAGTAGACATGCTTCTAGTTTAAAAAGCCAAAGGTAACACTCAGGCTTTTGGCCACCACCAGAGTTCCTGTGATGATCGCCTTGACTTTAGCAAAGTTAATACCTGTTGATACAGGTAATTGTAAGTCCCTCCTTGCAATATCATTCATTCATCCTTTAGCACTACCCAAGGCTCCCTGGCAGAGTCAGACCTATTTTTCCATGAGTACTTACGAAATTTACATAGGAGTGTATGAAAGACATTGGAGTATCTTGTACATGGCTTTTGTCTGTCCCATAGAATTGGTCACTTGTTCTGTGGACTCACTGAAGCTGTTCAGACACCTTCTGTAGCTCCTGTGTTATGTCACTGCAATCTTTGGCATACGTCTCTCTCTCCTGATGCTTTTTTGCCTCAGCAGCACATCGGCAAACATCTGTAATATTTCATTTCTGTTTATTGAAACTCTGAAGTGAGATGCAAGGATTTAGTGAAATCATTGGTCCATGTTCTGAGTTGAGTGGTGGATGGATGCTGAGAGGTATATAGTATGGAAAACCTGTTAGACTGCCTTACACAGGGGGAGGGGATAGGAGAATGGAAAGGCTGTAGTAGAGGAAGGCAGAGAGAAGCACCCTGCAAAGTTGTGTGGAAAAGAAAGAGACAAATGTTTGCATACTACAAACTTGGAAGCAGGTGATCAGAACTCCTTGAAATTAGATTTCAAGATTTCAGGTTTCACTGAAATCAATAGAGAGATTCCCATAGTTCTTCAGTGTCAGTAATGAATTAAGAGAGCATTTTAAATAACTATTTCAGTGAGTGTATGCTTATGTCAAAATTAACACATACTAAGCACCCAGGTATAAACTACTAACCATGGTGGGGCAGCAATTGATGCTGAAGGTCTCTCTCTGTCTCATCCTGCAGGTTGTTATTCTGTACTTTGAGCCAAGTACCTTCCGTTGTATTCTCCTAAGGTGGGTCCGTCTTCTCGGTTTTGCCACTGTTTACGGAACTGTGACTCTCAAGCTTCACAGGTATGTTATTATGCTTCACCAGTTCTCATTTCCACAGAGGGACCGACTTGTTTGGTTTTCAACTAATTGTAAACTGAGCTGGCCATTATGCACCAATGTAAATAGCAAGTTGATAGACACACATGTATTTCACACATCTGGTTAGGTTTTTTTTCTTCTTCTTCTTCACTTGACAACAGCTAGAGTGCTCTAGAAGGTGAACCTACACTGAAGAATTGCCTCCATTAGACTAGCCCATAAGCAAGTCTCAGGAAGCATTTTCTTGATTAATAACAGTGTGGGAGGGCCCAGCCCACTGTGGGTGGTACCACTCCTGAGAAGTTGGTGCTGAGTTGCATAAGAAAACAGGTTGAGCAAGCCACAGGGAGCATGCCAATAAGCAGCATTCTTCTATGGCCCCTATTTCAGTTCCTTTCTCCAGGTTTTTGACCTGCTTGAGTTCCTGCCCTGCCGTTCAGGGACGGAATGGACTGTATGCTGCAAGTGTCAGATGAAATGAACCGTTTCCTTCACAAGATGTTTTTGGTCAAGGGTTTATCACAGCAACAGGAACCTGAGACATCCTCTAGAAATATTTGTTACATTCTTCGGAAAACTTTAAAGAACTGTACTGTTCAAACAAGGTGCTTTAAGAAACTGTTTCTATTAGAGGATGGAGTTGCTTTGAAAAAAAAAAAAACATAACACTGCTGGGATGTTAACAGCATTTACTCACTGAAACAGGATGGAAAGACAGTGCAGCTCAAGTAATGGTTACTGTCACTCCTATAGAAGTCAGCAATTGTACAAAAATGCTGCCTTCCCTTCCCAAATTCCATGCCCCAGGATAACCCTGCTGACATTCCAAGATAGTCATTTTTTAAATGGTTTGGGATAACAAATTAGGAGGCTCTTCCCTGGGGAAGACTGACGGATTTTCCTGCTCTAATAACTTCTTAGTTACCTGTAGGTTTTTGTCTAGGGTTCGGGCCCCATGAAATTTCCCCTTCCATGTTAGTATATCTATTGATGTCATCCTTGTTCAGGTTGAAGTTACAGATGATTAAGTTACATTATACAGAATAAATGTGTTGTATTGTACATTTTGGAATATATTTCATATAGTATTTGTCTTATATATGTAGTGACAATTAAAGAAAAAAGAGGTTATGAATTAGAGAGAGTAAGGGAGTTTTAGAAGGATTTGAGGGAGGAAAATTATATATTTTTGTTATTTAAAAGAATAACAAAGTATTTAAAATTATTTTACCATTCCTTCAGGGTTTGTCAACATTGAAAAATGGAGGATATTGTAAGTTCCCTTACATTTATTTCAAGGCCACCCAAATATGAAAACAGGACAATAAAATAAACTTCCTGTCTGTGGTGCTAGGGGGTGGCTGGAAATCCTGGGCTTTCCCTCCCTCTCATCTACAAGTATAAAGAAAACATTGGTGAAGTTGTGTCAGAGGGGAAAGGAGGGGAAATGCCTTCAGGAAGAAGCTGAAGCCCTGGTACTGATGAGCATGAGGCAGTTTGGATGACCATAGAGCATCCTGCTCTGTATCCACCTGGCTATAAGGATTTCTTAGTCAAGTTGTTCTACCGAGGCTCATGCAGGCTTACTTTCAATGGTATGTGGTGTGTTTCTTTTCTTTAATCTCTTTCATTACACTCTTTTTGAAAATATGATAATTACTGTATCTCCCACACAAGCCCAACCCTCCCTTCTACCTTTCTCTCTTATGTTTCCCTCCATCTTTCTCTCCCTTCCTCCCTCTCTTCCTGTTTCCCTCCATCTTCCCCCCTCCTTCCCTTCTTTCCTGATTCCTTCATCTTTCTGTCCCATCTTTCCTTTCTAGTATTTAATTGCTGAGAATTATCCAGATCATCTATGAATCTCAGGATTTCTTGTGTGTGTGTGTGTGTGTGTGTGTGTGTGTGTGTGTGTGTGTGTGTGTGTAGTGAAGTTAGAAACATTATGGTACTGGATTTCAGGAGAGCAAATATGAATGTGAATTTAGCTTCAAATGCTAAGAAATCATAGGCCAATAAATCTTACAAATGAAAAGGAAAAGACAATCGGTGTACTCTTCCTGGCTTTCCCTTTACCATGTCAGTACACTGTGTCATACTGTAATGCCCTCCAGGTTTCCATTCCATACATAACTGCTATTTGTCTACTGATACTCACCAAAAGGTATAAGACATCAGTGGCAATCTACAATGGGTAGTAAGACTTGCCTATTTGAGACTTGATCAAGACCTCCCTTGCTACTAGACTAGCACTTGCTGTCCGTTATAATCTTTTCACTGCTTTAACATTTTGTAATTTAGTGGTAATCTTCATTGTCATTTATCTTCTTGAGGTGAGTGAAAGTCTAGCCACTGAATCCCAGGCGGTCTTGTGACCTACATATAGAAGTGTTTAACTCATTAATGGATAAATGAACAAATGAATGAATGAAAATGAATGGCTGACTGAATGAACAAAAAAAAGTAAATTGCAGATCTCTAAACTTCTTTCCATAGTTCATTCATATCCCCAGTCTCACCATATGATACCTCAGGGTGACCCACGCACTTGGAACACATAACACTGTGGCCTGCAGAAAGATATTTGATGTAATTTGAGGACATCATTAAATAGCACAAAATCATAAAGTAAGAAGATCACTTCTTCTTTGGTTCACTTTTCAATCCTCCTGATTATTTCCAGGAGAAGGATTAGTTTGGAGCGTCTCAGTTTTTCTTAACACCTGTCACACCACTGCTAATCTTCGTCTGGAAGAGAGCAGGCCAACCTTCAGACTTGGAGCTTTTCACTGCAGTGTCATGTTCTTAAGAGTCATCATTCTGTTCTACTATATTTATTTCCGTAGCTGCTAATAATTTATGGGATGTATTAGCTGGTTTATTTTAAATTTATAGTAACAATATGGTGTTCCCTTTAAAATACTTTAAAAGCAACAAATGGAAACTGCTTTAAAGAGGATATTAACTGATTCTGATACAGCAGCAATCATAAGGGCTTATGAAATAATTAGAATTTTGGAAACTGGTTTCTTTAATCATCTTTTGCTTATTTTAAAGACTGAAATGGAAGTTATTTCCTCTGTGAGGCTCTAGAAATCACTTCAGGGAAGAAGAATTGCTTTGTTGAAGGCTTAAAATTGGTAGAAACTTTTTTCCAAGTTACTGAGTAAAATTATTCTAATCCTGTATGAATCTCATGGCCTTACTCTTGTATTTGGTTTTTTCTTTATTGCCTAAATTTAACCAATTATTGTATTGTTCACCTATAAATGAAGCCTTTAGCATTTCTAGAAAAAACAAAAAACAAAAAACAAAAAAACGTGAGCACTCTAAGAGTATGACTGGCTATTCTAGGTTTGTGCTCCTGCTCTGGTGGTGTCAGAAAACACCATGACCAAAACCAACTTGGTGGGGAGTGGGAGGTCATTTGCTTACCTTTCCTCCTCATCACAGTTTATCCATGAAGAATATGAGGCAGGAATTCAAGCAGAAAAGCAGCAGAAGCAGAAAACACAGAGGAATGCTGCTAACCAGCTTGCTCCCCTAGACCATACCCAGCGATTTATTTTATACAAGCTAGGCCCCCCTGCCCTGCTTGGTGCTGTCTGCAGTGGGCAAGGTTCTCCCACATCAATCATCAATCAAGACAATGTTCCTACAGGCCTGCCCATAGGTCAATCTGATGGAGTCAATTCCTCACCTGAGGTTCCTTCTCTAATATCTCTAGTGTGTGCCAGCTTGACAAACATTAACAAGCAGAGCTCCCATCTTCAATGATATACTGTATCTGCTGGGTGGTGGATGTACTGCATTTGATACACTGTATTGTTTGGTGATGGGGTCACTGTATTTTATATACTGTATTTGTAGGACGCTAGTGTTGGGGATACTATATATGTTGTACTGCATTTGTTGGAGGGTAGATGATTTTAGTGAATGAAACTTCAGCAGATGCTTTCTGACTAGATTTGAGTCAAAGAAAGACCTTCTTTTATAATGTTACAATGTAGAAGAGTGACACAGAGTGACAATTCTAAACTCGAATTTTAGTTCTCCCATTATCTTCTTACATAATTAAAAGTTGGAATTTTCTTTGGATCACAAACCAGCTTCCCAAATACAGACACTGAGACCTGTTATTAATTATGAATGCTCGGCCTTAACTTAGGCTTGTCTCACTAACTCTTTTAACTTAATTTAACCTGTTTCTATTCATCTATGTTTTGCCTTGGAGCTTTTTATTTTCTTTCATTCTGTATGCTCAGCTTCCCTGCTTCCTCCCTATCTGGCTGTCTGGCCCCTGGTGTCTCCCTGTTATCTTCTTTTCTTTCTCCCTCCTCAGCCTAAATTCCTCCTACTTACTCTCCCTGCCCTGAAGCCCTGCCTATGCCTCCTCCCTCACTATTGACTGTTCAGTTTTTTATTAGACCGTTCAGGTGTTTTGAGAAGGCATGGTAAAACAATAACACATCTTTACACAATTAAACAAATATTCCACAACAAAAAACAAATAATTTTAACATCTAAGAATCATTCTTATCAACTATAAATGGTTACCTCACTTGTGAGATTATCAGGATGGCATGCAGTTTGAATATGTCAGGTAAGGGTTTTTAGTTGGAAGCCACAGAAACTGAGTTTGAAACAATTAAGCTGAAGGATCGATCATTGAATCAATATGGGCAAGGACTCAGAATTATAGGCAAGGCAGAAAACCAGGCCCCAGGAGGACCATGTCCATGATCTTACAGGCCAAATTAGTCTGTGCTGGGGGACAGTATATTCTGAACATCATAGCCCCATTTACATGGGAACTTCATTTTCATATCTCCATCCCCCCTTTTAACAAAAAGAAGAGAAAATCATGCTTCTGTAATCAAAACATTCTAGGAAACTGTGAGTGTGATTATATGAAATGGCTTTGTAGACTTTGGAACATAGGGTAAACAAGAAAGACTAAAGGATGTATCTCAGCCTTTCCCTCA